ATTATATTAACCTCAGAACCAGCTACTACTACAGAGGTCCGAGGTCACATTCAATAAAATTGTGAAACGGTTCATAGACAATTTTGAAGTCCTACTTTGAAATTGCACAAGACAAATTGAAAGAAGTGTTTATTTCATTTGAATCACTGTAATAAAAAAGTAAACATACAATATAGCTGAATAATAAATAGCAAGAAACAAAATTTGATGCTCATACAAACGATGGCATAAGTTTATAAACGACTGCGGTCAAAATATTGCATAAACTGTATATAACAAGACATTTGATTTTCAAGTTAGTGAAAACAATTACTATGAGCGTTTTTTTTGCACATGAGTGTCTAGGTTAACAACCTAAATTAAATTTAGAAATTTGCGATCATGATAATCTATTGAAGAAATTTTGGTTTTTAGACTAAAGGTCTAAAGCAGGGCTGTGCAAAGTGCGGCCCGCGGGCCAAATGCAGCCTGCAAAGGAAAATTGTGCGGCCCGCGGAGGCAACTGGAGAGCAGTTTAAAAAAAATTATTATTAAAAGATACAAAAGCTAACAATTTAGGCGTTTTAACTTATCATTTCTGCAAGGACTCCTAATGATGACATGAGATCAATAACAAAGAGACATCATTTTGTGCCTGCAACTAATAGAAAGCTGTGTTGAATGTAGGTGCGGCCCGCGGTTTCACCCGGTTATTGATATTTGGCCCGCCTGCGAAAAAGGTTGCACACCCCTGGTCTAAAGGATGATCAGTCATCCACACTTGTGGTAGATATCAAAGCACCAGTCATGTCTACCGTAGCATTATACACAGTCAAATCTTCAGCACCCTGGAAATGAAAAGAATTTAGTATGAATCCTGACAAATGGAGAATTATTTCATAGAGCCAGACAGCAGTTTTATGTTATTTTCATGACATAATCAACTTTCATGAGATCAGAGCATGCGGATCTTCACATAACTAGCTGGTTTGCAGTCATGTCAAGAGTCATGTGTAGATATATTATAGCTTATAATCGAAAAGTAGAATTCAGTCTTTCAACAGCACTCAATCTTACCTAGTGGTGGGATTCAAAATTTTGGAAAAAGCTGTAGTTTTGTATCGAGCTTACTAATAAAACAGGTCGGATCATTCCATAAAATGAATGTGTGCCACTACATAAGCTGCATTACCATGACTCACTTTTCGTAAATTTTATATTAACTTTTGAAATGCCAAATATAACTTGTGTTGTCAGCTGTGTGTGCGTGAACCATTTGTTGCATTCATACAACATTTGAAACAAATAGCAAGCACGGGTTTAATGCAAACCCCCCGACTCCTACCACTGCTCCCTTTTATTGCAGTCCTAATAAAAGAATATTTGCATACGAAATGGTTTCTATTTGCAATTTTCACTACTATAATATTTCAGTTCCGATCGAGTTGAGTAAAATGTGGACTTCGACAAATTTTGCAAAATGTAAGCGGCACTCACCTTTATATTTTTTACTAGATCATAGATAAACTCTTTAGTCTGTGGTTCCTTCAATAAAACACACAGAAAACCTCCACCTCCTGCGCCAGCGAGCGTTTGTCCTACGGAATAAGGTTGCAGGACTTTCATTATCTCTGTACAAGACGCCGGTTCACAACCAGGCGCCATTATTTTCTTTTGCTTCCAGTATTCATTAATACATTCACCCACTGCTCCAATGTCACCTATGAAAGAGTAATAGAATTTACATATTTATCCAGGGGTGAGGAAAGCTAATAAGACGGCTTGATCATATAGTAACACTTCCTCTTGTCTGGTTACCAGTCTATGTCAGGTATATTAGTTAGCCAGATGCATGGACTTGATGGTGTAGAAAGCCGTAGCAGACCAGACCATAATTATCCTCAAAGGATTAGAACCGGCAAACCCATACAGGGTAATCAGAGGTGCGGTGGCGAGTGTATTCATATCGCCTAGCATGAACAGTAAAAGAAATGAAAAGTATTATTATATGGATGATACTCGTTTATGTCCAACAGTTACAATAGGTTTCCAAAACTGCACGGTGCAATGTTGCTAGATAATTTTGTGTATATGGCGAAATAGCAACCCACTTTCTCCTAAATTCTTCTCTTTTTTTTGAAATTCCCCCAGGCTCGCCAGTGTTTATCATTTAATAAGTAAAATAACACAAAATAATTAAATCTCTCAATGTTGTGTCAATGTGTATAAAAGTATGCTTTCACATCGATCTGATTAATCTGACTAAAATTTTCTTTGTCATAAACGGTGTTAAAGTGAAGTGTGAATGGCTAGACTTACGTTAATTCAACGTATTCAACTAGGAAAATCAAAATCAACAATACATGTCTATATATAAGTTGCAATCAAAAAAGAACTAAAAACTAGTAAAAAAGCAATTTTGAAACTGAAATTTCACTATCGAAATTTTTTATAAGTTTATATTGAAAGTGTAATATTAATACGAAGACAAATTTCTGAATAGTATTTTGATTACCTTTTAAAAATGATTCCTCACAATTAAGAGCATTGTTGACAAGATTTTTACAATTCTTGATAATTTTTTGAGTTTTAGTATACCAGTTCCGTAGGACATCCTGAAATGATAATTTGTTGCTTAGGATATGCAAAAAAAAATATTATTTATTACTCATTTACAACAATCCTAACAAAACTGCTTACTAATTTAATCAATAAAAGGATACATAAGTCAGACCTTAAAATTTCGCTGTTATGAAGAATATAATCCTGATAGTCATCAATTTTAAAAATCAAGTTTTGTATATGCGTCATTCTATACCACAATGTAAATGTAGAACAGTCATGGAGAAATGCCAAATTATACAATGAATTTAAATTTTTATCTGGAATGCTGAAGTTGAATATTTTGCTTGTATAGGTTGAAAATTACTCTCACATTTATCTCCCTGTACTCGATGAAGTTCTAATATTCCTTATTGCTATTACAATACTTAATTATGCATACACCATAACTCTCCAAATGTTGAAGTGTGACTTTCTCATAACATTAGCTAATGATTCAATATGTCATGCATTTCAGACAGGCCTAATTTCCAAAACTATTCATACTATTACACCCAATACCTGCAACATGTTTCTAGCAAGTCTTGTTTTTCCAGTATATATCAGTTTTAGTCTTTCTTCAAATTTCCCAAGGAAATCTTTACTGACGGCTGAGAAAGTAATTAGTTAGAAATGTGTCATGAATTTGGTCAACTCGAGGTATGCCGCAGTGCAGAAAAGCAAAGATATTTTTTATTTCGAATATTTTTATATTTTATTTGGTATAGTGTCAGAAGTTGTATGAGGTACCATATATTATTTCCAACCATCAGATGTTAAATGCTTAAAATGAAAAATTGAGAAATAAAAAATGTTCATAAATTAAGAACTTACTATATTAAACAAACCAACTTTTATTGTATTCGAATAGCTGTTTCATTTTAGACTATCTGTGATACTATTTTGCAGTAATAGTTCAATACAATTGGGTCACAATTCCTACTACATAGCTGGGCCAGATTTTAACAAGTTGAAAAAAAATTGTTTTTTGAAAAAAACAGAAATACACAAGACAAAATGAGTTTAACAGGTCTATTTTCTTTCACATGTTACAACAATCAATCATCGGATGCCAAAGATTAGATTGTTCAAAATGTTTTTTATTTTTAGGAGCAACAACCAAGTCCATCTACCATATCACCCCAACTGAACATCGGAATAGCCCTACCCTGATAATGGAAGAAGTCGAGTAAAGTTGCGAACTACTAACTGTCACGCTTTGTTAGAAAATTGCAGGCTTTTAGACATAGGGTAAAGTAAACTGCAAACCTATCTCACCAATTGGTTTCATTCCTATTTTCAGAGGAAGTTCATTCTTTGAAAAACATCGCTTGATACCACCTACCATTCCTAAAAATATGAAGTAATGAAACGATTTATCAATTCGGAAATTTTACGATCAAATTACAGTAGATTGCAGACAATCATAATCCTTTGAGCGCTGCCCCTGACTACAACGATATATCAGTAATCGAACATAATTTGTTCGGGATAGGTGTTTGACTACCAATTCGTTACAGTACCAAAACTTTTTCGCCATAAGAAACAATGGTAAATTTTTCTTCACTTCTTCCTTTTATTACGGTACTCATTTTTTAGAAGCATGATCAACGGCAAAAAGGCAAGAAAAATCACTAAATTACAACATTTTCTCAACACATATTATCCAGGTAACGTTCTGACCAAAATTGAGGCTTGCTGAATTGCCGAGAGGCAGCCAACCCGTGCGGTTTTTGGTCGCCTACCGAGATATCTATGTATGTTCGTTTCACAGGGTAAACATCTTGGATTTGCACCCTTTCCACCTTTCCACCCACTATCTCATCCCTCATGTAGTGAATTGGATAGGAGGCTCAGTGGTTCTCAACCTTTTTTCTTTCGTAGCCCATTTTTGTTGCACAAAAAATTGTACTTCCGCCCATTTACTTTCTCATGCAAGGGGAGAAATACAGGAAAAACAAGAAATTGTTTTTACAAAGATAGACACTTTGAGTAATTAAAATGAGAATTACCACCCAGAGCCAAAAAGCAGCAGAATCATTTATTTCGATAAAAGTTTGACTAATTTATCAATAACTCTGGCAATGTTTCTGTAGCCCAGAAGTGGGCCATGAGCTAATGACTGAGAACCGGTTGTATAGGCAGAGCCGAATTGTAAGTTTCCAGTCCTCTCAAAAATAGTCGTTCATATTATAACAGTTGCTTGTACAGAGCCTGGTTCAAAGCGAAAACATTTCATAAAAAAATCGAAAAATATTACAACAAATACCTCCCACTTGATCTTGCCAACCTCCACCTGTTGTCATCAATTGTTCAACCATCAATACTGCATGCATGACACAATCTAAATCAGCAACATGGCCTCCAGAATAAAGCAAAACCGTGATAATTGCACCTGTCAGGTAAGAAATAATAACTACTTATGCTGTGAAGTCTGAGGGAAATTTATTATCCGCTGGTTGATTAACATTCAAAGTTGAATTGTCACCCTAATCCAGTTTTAAGAAATATTAGAATCCAGCTTCATGAAAACTGAATTTTGATAGCAAAAACTTTGGCATATGCAAACCTTCTTCGTCTGTTGAGATCAATTATCGTATGTAAATAAAATTTCACTTTAATTATCACCATAAGAGATCTGAAATTCTGATTCTGACAAATTCAATTTCTGACTTTGGCTAACTAGAATTAGAACTCGAAGGGAAATTTAAAATTGATTGGTCCATTAGTTGGGCAGAAAAGTTTTTTTTTTCCTAACAACAACAAGATTTTAACAAACTTTCCATAGATCCATTTTGTGTCAAATTATACAATCGAATTTGAAACAAACAATGATAAAATCAAGGCAGTAAATTTTCATATTTGTAAAATTGATTGAATAATCTTTCTGCACAATATACCTGCAAGAATACTACTTGTTCCGAGTCCAGATCCTCGAGGTAAGTCTGACCAGGTTTGAATTTCTAGTCCTCCACCATATCTGTATACATAGAAAAAATGGGAAATTATTTTCTATTTTCAAGTTATTTAACTTCCTTCCATGACGGATTGTTCAATGGACAGTATTTTATTTTGGTGTAGACGGGAGTCGATAAGATGGCTGAATTATATGGTAAACTATCATCTTTCATCCAATTACCATTCCATATCAGGTATGGGAATACTAAAGGAGTTATTCATTTCAGATGCATGGACCTGATGGTTGACTATCATGCCGGTTCCACAGAGAAACAACTAGATTTTAGATAAAAATATTTTTTGAGCATTTATCATTGGGTGACATGACATAAGATTTACATTAAAACTTTCATCTAGAGTTTCACTAAGAAGTCACTATATAGGAAAAATGGAAATCATCAAAAATGAATGAATTCAAAATTCCCAACCTTTCCAGTAATTGTTCTTCCAGTGATAACTTGGAATCCAATGAAACAATTCCAGCAAATACGAAACAGGCTTTTAATAATGCATCTGGAATAATAATATTCATTTTGGTATAGTTTTTTCTAAACTGTCCAATGTGTGCTATCTCGTGTGCGTAATAGTGGTTTTGCTGTTTGTTTCTCTAACAAAATGATACCACTGACAATGCCGCAGCGGTAATCGTAGCCGAGCAATGACGTGTTATGTTTGAGTAGTCACTTGCGTTCAGCATCGCTTCGACATATCTTTCGTGTTGTGATTATCTCGTGAAATTGTCTCGCGCAGCTTGAATAAGTTGACGTAATCAATAGTAAACAAACTGCTTTCATATTCGAAAGCAACTTATATTATCAGCTGCTCGTCGTTCGGCCATAGCGCAATGTATTTATTTATCCTTTGACAATGCAGTAAACATACTGCTTTACTATTCGAAAGAGACTTATATTATCAGCCGCAGGTCGATCGCCATTAGTAGTGAAATAGCGCAATGTATTCAATTAGCATTTGACGATGCCGGCGAATATTTATTTTTGACTTACTATACAGCTCTCAGCACTCGTGAACTTATTCCTGACATTAGCTTATTATCTGAAAAGCGACCTAAATTTTATGTCGTTCGTTCGTCCCCATATCTTTTGAATTCTATCATCAATCACAACTGTTTTGAGTAAATTACGAATTACGTTTATGGACAGAAAACTATTGCCATCTCGCTGAAATTACTTTCTTTTAAGTAATAATGTATTCTTTGTATGTTTCTTAGCTTTCAAATACTTACAGACACAAAACTTGTAGAATTTAAAATATGCCAAAGAAAAATGACACGCTACCGCAATTACAAACACTCGGACAAGCATATATCAAGCTTGAAAACGATGCAAAAGTGTCTTATTGATTTTTGTTTTGACATACGTCCACGATAAAACGTATACGTATCGGATATTAACTCTTACTCACTAGTCATAGTAGAGCCATATTGTTATAGGCGCTTAACTGCTCTCCCGGAAAAATTGGGTACAATATACATAAAATAATATAGACTTTGCCAGGGTTCGAATTGCCTGGCCCACGTGCTGTGTTATTCAAAGTGGAAAAATACGAATTTGCAGGGTGACATTAAATGGTGCAATAAAAGGTTACGCTTGTCTCCAAAAAAATTGACATACCCTGGGCTTGTGGTCGGCAGTAATCTCGGAACTTTTCAATATCATAATAAGGGTTAGAGAAAGACACTTTATCTTTTTTCATTACTGTTGTCATCGAAATCATTGGCTCTTTGATAACTTTTACTCGTGCACCAACTGGACGTTCATTTTCTAATCAAAAAAAATAAAAAAAAACAGAAATCAATAGATTTTCATTTAATGGTAAAAGACATGACACTGTAGAAGAGGGCAGAAAATGAAGCCATGATTTGATGAGAACCTTTTTATTCCAAATAGCCCAATTCTGGTACTTGAAATTTAAATTACAGTTCAAACTGTAACAACATAAACAAGAAAGTAATTTAATTCTCAAATAAACAAGCACAAAGATTGAATTGAAAAATAAAATAAAAGGAAAATCATTCCAGAGGCGTCAACCCTATTTGACTGTAATTTCTAATCGATTGGCTTATCAGTTTAGAAAAAAGCAACCCAGACAGACAACAACCACAATACCAGATTGGATTTATGGAAAGAGTGATTGCTATTAAACCATAGTGAGTACATACATAGCTTTCAAAAATGTATATCACTTACTTTAAAGTGTAATTACTATAACAAGAATGTATCTAGTGAAAAATATTCACTTCAACTTACCAAGCAATAGAGCCACGTTTACGACAGACCCACCATTTTCATAACATATTGGAGGTGTATCTGACCAACCACCAGAGAGATCTATTCTTGTAGGACATTCACAAGACAACCATAAACCCTTCTTAAGCACATTCCCTGGTAGAGTCCTAAAAAAGAAAACAATACTATTTATTCTGTCAATGGATAATAGTGGTGAAAGAAAAAAAAATTGATGACAAATTAAACATTTAAAAATGAGGAACGCATTCTCCCAAGCATCAAACAATTATTTATTTCCACAACAGTGTCCAATCAGCAATGAGCTGACATCCAAGAAACATTTAAAATTTTGTGGTCGCTCGGACACTTTTATCACCCAGACAGATTTTCAAGCATGAATGGGAGTATTTTCTTGTTTCCATGGATTTGCTTGCGGTTTGTCAGTTTTCAGATATGCTGTGAAAATTTAGCTATAAATCTCAGCTCAAGGAGTTTTGGAATTGTTGCAGCAACTGAAAATCTGTCCCACAAAAATTGCGATAGATTATGCTAAAATTAGCTATCAGTACTTTTGAATGCCAAGAAGTTAAATATTTTGAATCTAAATGATGCTGCGATGAAGTAACATCAAAAGTTTTGTAAAGAACAGGAAGAATTATCCTTTTTGATCAAATAACTTCCAAAAATCTTTAGGTTTATATATCAAGGAGCAATAAGAGTGGTTACATTAGGACGTCCGATAAATGAATAATCAATACCTTATAAACTTAACTACCGTTGTGCAAGCATGCTTGATAAAAATATGTTCTGCTCTCTCATAATGTCTTGCAGCCCGTATTAATAAATCTGGATTGTGTAGCCAGTGAGATCTGATCTCTGCCAATGCAAGGATGCCATCTGAAACAAATAAAATTAGGTGATTAGACTAACACAAATATATATCTTTGAGGTTTTGTCTGACCAAAGTTATCTAACAAATAAAAAAGTTTGTCTGAGAAAGCCTGATTTTGAACAGCCAAAAATCACAAATGTATATTTGTGTTAGCGTGTAGCAAGAATCTTGAATCCATTTTAAACGGCCGATTGCAACCTTGCATCCATACACACAATGACACCAGTTTCAATAAAACATTATCGGTGGAATAAATTTGGGAATGCTGATATTTCAACCTACATAGATATAATTTAAATTTTAATTGCAACTACATCATACTAGGTTTATACCGAAACCGAAAAATTAGGTAGTACGTCATAAAGAAATGATTCACTAAACCCAATTGTAATAAGTTGATTATTTTGACATCATAATTAGCGTAAACGCCATACATGAATGCTGAAAACAGGTATTAAAGCATGGAAGGACACCAGGAAAGCAAACAAAATCTAAAACAAATTTTTGTCAAAATTTTAAAAGTGATGTGCTTGCAAACCCATGAAAGAAATATTGACTGAAAGAATTCTGTGTGATATAATCCACCGTGCACTTTAGAAACAATAAATCTGCTCAAGCACATAAATTCTAAATCAGTATTGTAAAATACCTTTCAATTGATTTTTTTCCAGTAATAGTAAAGCTTTCTTCCAATCCTTGTTTGCAGCAGGCCCACTTCGTAGTCCAGCATGTTCACCAGCCATTAAAGCGAGAACCTCGGCAATGCATGAAAACACTCGAGCACAAAGATGTGGTTTTTCAAGAGAAACACACTCAAGAGCGGCTGAAATAAAGTCATTTTATTCAATCAATATAATACCAAATAGTGAATACAATGCCTTATTAGCATGACTGTTTAAAAAAATGAGGTTGAAAATCTAAATTACAAAAGTCAAAAACTTGCCGATCACATCACTTTTTGAGTCGATTTTGAGCCAGTCATGCCACTTTTTTAGTCGATCAAATCACTTTTTTAGTCTATCAAATTACTTTTTTAGCCCAATCAAATCACTTTTTGAGCCGATCAAATCACTTTTTAAGCCAATCAAAATCTATTTCAAGCTGATCCAATTACATTTTTAGCTGATCAAATCACAACTGATATGTGATAGGCTACGTGATCGGATGTTCAAATTTTTCCATTGGCCACCCGAATCTATCAATTTAATTTTAATTTAAATGCCCTGTTTGTTTACTATAAGTCAAAATCAGTATTCATGAAACAATAAAAATATCTTTACCTTCATCTAAGACTGCCAATAACATTTGATGCATCCCAGAATTGACTCCAAGTACATAAAGTGAATGAATATGTGTTTCTTTATTGTGTATTAAATTTTGTTTCAACTTTGCACAAGATACCTGAAAGAAATATTGAAACACAATTATGGTTGAGAATTTGAAAATTTCAACCCAGAGTAGAGGCATGCGCACTCACTCAGTGGTACAAGATTGCTGATTATGAAAATTTGACAATGATTAACTTCAGAATCAGTTTCCGGTCGAAATATATTGTCCACGATTTTATTGCAAAATCGTATATTCAATGTCATCCAAAAAATGCGCAGTTGACAATGTATTTCTTTATGATATCTCAAAGTGGAATTTCACATCGAACACTGAAAATTTGTCACATAAATGAAATTTAATAACGGAATCGGGTTCAACTAAAATACTTCCATACGTCCGAACCATGCTACAAAGCTCTTGCAGCAGAGTACTCATGAAACTATCTCGATTTGTGAATAATTTTGAGCGATGCCAAGATAAGATCTCAAGAAATTGCCTTGTAACCATTGTGACGCAACAAGCTAAATTTAGAGATTATTATGTGAATCGTCACGCTGCAGTTAACTGGTTACCAGTATGTCTTGTGATTCAGTCTAGAAATGGTTTATTGATGTTGCGTCAGCATTGTGAGCAATTAACGATTATAGTGTTTTCACTGAAATTCCCAGCCCTACATGGCATGAATCCTACTTCATGTGCTTACTTTAATTGCCCCTCACTATATATCTATCATGAGTCAGAACAGTGGGGTGAATGTGCTAAAAAGGAGACAAATGGGGCAACTCTGGAACATGACATTTTTGAGACAACAGGAATATCATGGTGCATTAAGTACCAGTACATACCCTTTGACCCAAGACTTGAGAGAAAAACCAATAACTTGGATCTTTGAAATGAAAATCTAGGCACAAAAATTAAATTAATCATCTTGAATAACCCATTTTTGTGTGAACTCTAGAAAATCCCTCCCTAAATATTTTTCAATAAATGCTTAATCCAAAAAAGGAGTTGATCAACCGTAACCAATAATTAATATTATCAGCTATTTTCCATAGCTGCTACATACCTTCACTGACAACTCTCTTCTATAAGTAAACTCAGCATTGTGATCAGTTTGCTCCAACAAATCATAAATTGAAAACCTCCAAGACGATTTCCATTTCTGATACTGCTTCACTAGAAAAAAACAAAGATACAATCTCCAGGAAGCAAAAATTTGAATTCCTAATTCCCAAGATTTATATAGTGTGGTCCTACAACTAGCAGTTCTAAATTTGCACCACATAGCTTGGCTGGCATAGCTGTGGTATCGAAGCCGTTTTTTCAATCTCTCTGATGGCAGGGTGAAAATTTTGAATTCCGTGGTGTTGGAACTGAAGCCGCTCAATGACGATGAAATAATAAATGGGCTTACCGGTACACATTTTCAAAGTTTTTGTGATCAAAACTAGAGTCCAGAGTCGAATCGGAGTCAGAATTTAATTAATCCAGAATCACAGTGAAAACGGTAGTCGGGTCATGATTTTTTGCAACTCAGAGCAGGGTTGCCGAGTCATTCCTGGTATATAGCATGCTCTTGCAGTCTTTTACAAAATATTTTCAAGAGTTTTAAAATTTCATTTATCAGTATGAACAATAGTATTGGCTATATTTGTCTGAAAGCAGGTTGCAATGTGAATACCAGGTTAGGATTAATATTTAATTATGAAAAATCAAAATGTGATTTGCAACATATACAATATTTGCTCATCCTTCCAAAGAAAGGACTCACATTTGACAAATTCTCTCAGAAGACAAAGTGTATCTTGAATATCTATGGTATCTCTTGCATGAAGTACAGGAAACAACTTGGCAGTGAAAAATGTCTTGTGATTCAGTCTAAATATATTGTTTGATGTTGCGTCAGCATTGTAAGCAATTTCATTTAGTTTTTAGTGCTAATTACTAGTATGTATTTATTGTTTATCAGTGGGCTCGACAGTATGACATACCGGATAGCATAGGATTTCCATATTTATCCTGGGGGAGAGGAAAGCCGATAAGACGGCGTATCCATATAGCGAACCACGGCCTCTCGTCCAGTTACCATTCCAAGTCGGGTATGGGATTAATTATATTGTTTGTTTTCGGAAGCATGGACTTGGTGGAGGAGGAAGCCGTAACCGACCAGCGGTTACGTGAACCACCCAACGACGGCGAGGAGTCCAGCAATCCTCTCGCACATAACCATCCTTGCATGGGATTCGAACCTGCGAACCCACACAGAGTAATTAGAGGTGCGGTGGCAAGCGTATTCCTAACGCTTAGCCCGTTGAGCCACACCACCTGTACTAAGTGTTAGGAACAAGCTTACCATTGCACCCCTGATTACCCTGTGTAATTCGCAGGAACTGTGATGGGATAATTATGTGCGCGAGGAGTCAAAAGACAAGTGTATAATGAACATTGGAAAAAGGCTTAATGGGGGAAAAGTGTCAGAAACCTATGTTTTGAAGTATATTCCATTTGTTTACATTATAACTCTACAATTTTCTCATATATCAAAACTAGCTCTCATCATATTCTACAATCTACAGCAGGGGTAGGAAAACTACGACCCATGGGCTGGATAGACCCACCGAAGTGTTTTATGCGGCCTACAATAATACTGTCATAATGACCCGGATTGTTACGTTGTGCTTCTTCTTATTATATGAGTGTTAGCCTATAGCTGTTGTAAATAAACTGTTCTTAATTCTTAGTTTTTCATTTTGAATTTTTTTGAGCCTCCGGCCCAGTCTATGTTCTATAACTGGCCAACTCAAAAAAGTGATTGCAATATTTAATAAATCAAGTCTAAGTTTACCTTTCATCTTGAGGAAGGAGATTGAGATAGCTGAAATGATGCCAAAAGAAAAATGTTGAAAGTTAAAAAAAGAAAAACTTTGAAAACAATTTTGAAATTTCAGTTGGAATATTTAATTTGATTGATTTTGAAATACATGATTTTCAAAATGAAAAAATGTTTGCATTTTTAAATGTCAGTTTTTTCAAAATTTGATTAGCGATATATCATTTACATGTGTTTATAACAGACACAAGCAAATTTATTTATCAATGTGTAGTTATAAATAATAATCTATCAGTGTTCTCATTTACCCTTTGCAAATTTTTAATGAAAACTTTACCAACTATACCGTACAGACAGTCAATTACAGTCTGTAAATAAATTATGAAAAAGGACACAAGGCTGGACAGTATTTTCGCAATGAGATCACAATAAAATATATTATTCAACTGAGGAAATTAGAATAAAATGTTTCAATTACAATAAAGTGATCAAAAAATAACTATTTCAGTTCCTACCTTGGGGGTAGTGGAGATGCTTCTCCAATCAAAGTTCTCAAAATATCATCACGTAAAACAAATTTATCTTTCTTTTCTGAGACAGAGGATTCATTCATTATTGAGTTTATATCGTCAGAAATCTAAGAAAACAATTGGAATGATTTAATTTTCTGAAATGTGCTATATATCGGTCCAGAAAAAGGATAACAGCTACTATTCAAATGTAGTCAGTATGAATAATCTTCCATGTTTATTGCACCAAACCCAAACCATCAGTACCTCTTCTATAGAGCCTTGTTCTGAGCAAAGTGGTGATACAAAATAAAGATAGGATTGATATTGTATCTGTAATGAGAGTGGAAGACATGTTTGTGGTGCAAGCCATGGATTGGTCTCTACAAGATTAGTAAGAATTCTGTACATGTTTCAAAAGTTGCCTTACACTGATTTTATTGCAGTTCCAAACACAGCAGAATATCTTTCGTGCTCCAGAACCAGCAATCTTTATATTGAACCCTAGTTACCAATAAATAAATAAAGCTGATAAATTGCAATTGTGATTTTATGTATTGGCAGAATAATTATGTTGTAATTACAGCTCTCCATCTACTTGAAATTAGAATGTTTATTAACAAGTGAAATGTATGACGAGGCTAATAATTTTGAGTTTAATAAGGCTATGTATGGGCAGTTACACATAAGAGACTTCGCCGATTCGACACGACTAATCAGTACCGTTGAAAAAATTGTGCTCAATACCCAATATTATTGACTTCCAGCACAAATAAATCAGTATACTTAAATAACAAAGTACAAACATGCCGGACTTTTAGACTAATAACTGTTTATATAAGAGTAAATCTATTTTAGGCAATTGAACAAACAAATAATTCGTGCAATAGAATAATTCTTAGCATATAACATCATCTCACCCATAACAAAGCTATTATCGGGTATATCATCTATAAGTTCACATGATTCTCCATCAAGTCCAATGATGACACAATTCCTTCCAATTTTTACTGAGCTCTGTAACAAAAAGAAATAAACATAAATAAAATAAAAATTTATTAAATCGATATTTTTCGATTATATTTCGATTTTACTCCAGATATGTAGCCACAATCATAAATACAACTGAGATTAATTTGGAAGGGCTGGTATTTTCCTCAGTTGATGAAAAGTCTATTCAATTTATTACACCAGTACCAGGAATATGAAATTCTTTATCGTTATTAAGACATAAGACAAATAAATATGGAAAACCAAGGGTATAACTGTAAAAGTAAATCTTAATTTGTTCAATATAATATAAGTCATGAACTAATTCAACTATAATGTCACACATCCTGTTATATAATTTCACTATCGGTATAAGGCTTCAATAGTGTTGTATTTAAAATTAAGTACAGATACCTTCAAGTGTGAATGAGCAATAAAAGACCCATCTTCCACAATTGATTTTTCACTGACTAGTGAATTGATGAGCATACAATCTTTTGCTACAACACAAGTATCCTGAAAAAATTAATATTCTGAACTCGAGAAATTGAAAAAATGAATAGCAGATTATCATCTGAGATTCAATAATCCCGATTCAAACTTCATCTTCAGGTAAATTATACCTCAGAAGCCTAAAAAGTCTCGCATTAAATAAGTCAAATTTTGTAGGAAGACATGTTAATCCAGTGGGTCCCAATCTTTTTCCGATATATTTGCTCTCTTGTAATTCGCAAAACAGTTCATAATCTAGAGCCACATATATGTATAACAATAATACTAAAAACTAAACGGAATTAGTAATGCTACTGACAATAAAACGCAAAAATTTCTGTGCCAAAATAACAAAAATTGTATTCGAGGAGAAATTCTTCCCCACTGTTCAAATCTATTTTGAAACAATTGCATGTCAAAATTGTTGTCGAAAGACCCCTCGCAAATGGCATAATAATTCAGGTCAAAACTAAGGTACATCTCCAGTAATAAGATATAGCCTATAAAAGTAAGAGCGTTTTATTTTAAAATTCTGCAAAGGTAAAGTGACTAGCCAAGCATTTTTTTTTTATCTAAACAACAACAATATTATGAGTGATTTATAAGTCCATTGTGTACATAAAGTCAAGCTTACTTCAACAAAAGACCTTGATTGCAAGGTTGAATCGAAGCCCTGAAATTTTGAAACATCTGGATTCCTAAGAAGTTCTGCATATTGTAGAGGAGTGTCTGTCACATCCAAATACTTATGCTTTCCGGATTGTAGTATAACTGTATATAGAAGTATTAAAGATAATCACAATTTGACAAAAATTATGAAGAAAATGAATGGGAAGTCTAGAAAGATTGATAGATTTAGGCTCAGTATTCATAAAGTGGTCCTTTCATTGGAAGACAAACAAAAAAATATCAATTAATTACATATTAGAAATAGTGTTGATAGTTGAGCAACAATTGGATTAGCGAATGAATGACAGCTACCTCCAAAAATGAGCAAAATTTATAATAAACTGTATATATTAATAAGATATGATCGTATCAATAGCTCAGAATTGTCTGTGGGAAAATGAAGCAAATTGTCTGTAAGAAAACATGACAAAACCAGATCACTCTAAATTCTGTGATCCTATCAGGCTTGATTCTTGTAGTCACACTTAATTTTTGAGCAATTTAATTGAGGGATGTTGACTAAGTGATATTGATACGCACTCACTCATTGCATTTATTTCATATAAATTTGGAAAGTGTAAAAACAATTTACATTACATGATAGCTTATAACATAGGCCTACTCCAAGCTGTGAATTCATTTATTTAGTCATTCCAGATATTTGAAATGTCTGCATAAAATTAGAATGAAAATAACAAAAATCACTAAGATACAATAATTAACGATAAACAATGTATAAAATTTAGATTTACAAGGGACAGACAGATACAGAAAGGCTCATTTGTAATGTGAGAAGCCTAATGCAGGGTAACCAGACAACACACAACCATATTTCAATATTTTCTTCTAATGAGCGATTGCTAGTTAACTTGTATGAAGAAAGTGTGAATTGACCTTGTCAATCAAATAAATCATTAATAAGTAGAGTTTGCATCAGATTGCTATAGTTTATCTGAGACAAAGGGAACCAGAATCAGTCTTCATTGTAGTAATTGAATTACTAATATTTTTGGCTTTCATATCAAATATAACCACTTTGTTGACATCTTTGCCTTTTATAAATAATGTGTTGTCAGTTTCAAATGCCTCTAAATTGAATGCTGCCACATCATTCAATGAAAAAAAAGTTTCCAAATATTGTCCACTGATATGTAGTGGGAATATAAAATTCAATAGAAGTTAATTGATCAAATCTTCCGCACAATAAACCACCGAGAGCAAATATTTTGACAGGCAAACAAGAAGCAGCTGCTGCTCCATTACAACGTTCATACAACATATCATCAATCCTGTCCCAATCCTCATCAAATTCTTTAGCTTGCTTCTCAGTACCTTTCCCACCAAGAGCATAAATATGATCAGAAGATGCAGTGACCATAACCCCTTCTCCTAGTTGATGGCCCTCCTGTTCCTCAACCCAAGTATTTGTCTCAGGAATGAATTTTGAGAATTTTTCAGGCTCAATCAGGACTATACAACCTTTGAAAGTCACACATTTATAGTTTGAAGGTTCACTTTCCAAGTTTGCTAAATTTTTCCACATTCCACTGGAATATTTTATCAAACTTTGTTTGTGAAAAACGTATATCTCTTTGTCGATGCAAACGACATCTCTATGACCTCCTGAAAATTCTTTAGGTATTTTTGTAATCCTGGATACTTCAGATCTTTGGCAATTAATGTTATACAACATTCTACCATGTTTTGGTAACAAGACAATGTGAGGAACTGGTTTACAGAAACCAGATTCCGCAGCTGATTCTGGGTACTGGTGCCATAGCGATATCAAAACTGATTTCTTTCGTTTTTCAAAGTGTGAATAGACTCACTTAACACGTTCAACAAATATGCTCTACAATCCTTAGATTCTTCCATTAAAGGTTCAGTTTTGAACTTGGTCGTTGACAAAATTCTTCGGTAAATCAGCAAGACTAATGACACGCAGAAGATGAAGAAACATTGACGTACGATTTCCATGTCTGCTTTGACCCATTTGACAGCAGCTTTCCACTTTAAAATTTCTCCTTCACCATAAGTGCCAGATAAGGAATTCATATACTTCTGAATTTCACCTAACGATTTTTTCTGGAAATCTTCTGTCGAAGTCATTTTATCAAAATTCTCAGAAATGTATTTCTCAATCTGTTTTGAGAATTACATGATGATATTTTTGAGCCAACTCCTTGTAAAAAAACAGTTTTTTGGATCCAAAATTTTTATCAAATACTCGAAATAAATGTCAGAAAGCTCTGTCAGATTGAAAAGCTCCGACACATGAATAAGAAAATTAGGAGAATTAGTGGAAAACAGCACTTTTCGGGTATAAATGAATTTTACACATTTTTTGACAGATTCTGGATCCACATCCTGTAGCTCAACAAACCCATCTTTTCTTTCTTTACTATTGTGAGACAACATTTTATCAAAATAGGATGAAGATGCTGCAATAACATTTCGATGAACATGGATTTTCTCATCTCCAGCTTTGATTATGAAGTCACAATACTTTTCTTCTTGCCTTTGCTTTTCTAACATTATCAGTAGATCCTGTGGTGGACTTTTACTTTCTCTTTCATTCGCCATGTTTTTTTAACCAACAGCTTTTGGAAATGCTTATATATATATATTTAACAAACTTGTTGATATTTGCTATATCAAACCTAAATTTTTTTCATTGAAAGCAGCAATAACGCAAATAGGGTTAGTAAGGGTTAAAGAACAAGTCTTAAACTAAATAAATATTTAGTCTTATCATTCTGTTTCATCTCAGATTATGAATCAGATATTATTCCGACACCCATCCAATAGCAGATCAAAAACAAAAAACACTGAACACACTCCTGGATAATTTCAAAGTACTGGTTACATTAATATTGATTTAGGTACTTAAATGTACAAACACACTCAGGTATTTATCATTCTGACAGTCAAGGCAATAAAACCAACAATAATGTGCTTCGTGTTGTGGATTCAACAATACAGCTACCATTCTTACTGAAACAGTCATATATCGAATCTGGTTTAGTTGCGCAAAGAGATGTGTGAAAGTAACAGATATCTTAGTTGTGTGATATTTTGACAGCCAAAGACTAGTGAAATTTAGGTTATTTTGCGCAGCAAAAAAGGAAAATACAGATATTTTTGCAAAATGATGAGGAAACCAACCAAGAAGTTATCAAGATTGTAATTGGCATGTTGGCCACCACTGGTATAAAGCATCAAATATCTATAACTTTCAATGTCGAAGGGCAATGAGGAATTGTTCGATACCAGCCATATTATTATTAGCTTCTCTGAACAGGATTTCTCTACCAACTTCGAAGTGCATGTTAATTTTACAGGTTATTTCTTATATGTTTAGCAAAGTTCATTGTTTCATAAAATAAACATAGAAGCATATTATCGATTGTATACTGTATTTTTTCAAGTCAAGTATCATGTTAATTTATTATTTGATAAGTCAAACAGAGACCTGGACTCTGTTAATGTGATTGGTTATGAATTAACATTACCTAGCTCAACAAATCAAAACCCTTTTGCTGGTCCTTCTATCATTCAAAAAATTCATTCCACTCTTGTATACATTTATTCAAGATAGATAAAAGACACTGACTCATTTATTTCAATCAAAATTCACTGCAAAACTTGTTTACATTATTGCACAATGCAGGTTACTTCAACATCGCATATTTTTCTACTTCGCATCATTGGCCTAAATTGTAAAGTATCGTTTCGCATGAATTAGAAATTGTAGAACGCCTCACTGGAGATAAATACCTACCCGGTTAAGAACGATCGACTTAGCTATTTTTAGCTAAGGGTACGAAAAAATTATCATTTATTGTCAGTCATCATATTTGATATTGTCGATATGATATTAATATAATTTTTGGAATTCTGTTGATGTTAAAAACCTCACAACCACTAGTGCAGGTTCTATTGCAATATGAACATTTTACCAGATAATTAATATAGAATTCACAGATATATTAGGCAATTTCATCAAGAATAGGCATTGGACATGAAAGCTAAATAATTACTAAACCATAAAATTCATATTTACAAGGGACAGACAGACGATATAGAAAGGCCCAGTAGCACCGTGAAAAGGGTTGATGCAGGCTAATATAACAAGAAACAAGCATAATTAGAGATTTTCTTTAATGAGCGCTCCCTAGTTAACAAGTATGAATGAAGTGTGAAGAAGTGCATATTATCAAGCAAATATATCATTGCATCAAATTACTATAGTTTATCAGAGACAGAGTGAACTAGAATCAGACGTCACTGCAGTAATTGAATTACCGGTACCAATCTTTTGGTTTTTATATTGCATCTAACCATTTTATTGCCATCTTCACATTTCACAAATAATGTGCCGCCAGTCGCGAATGCCTCCAAAATAAATGCTTCTAGTGATCGTCAACAGGTTGTATAACACACCTCAAAGTGTACCACATCGTATGTTGTTGGGTATACACTAACACACGATATGCTATTTAAATGCACCGAAAATGGCAATGGTGTGTTATATCTATCTAACCTATACGTGCTAACTTATGCACAACGTATGTCTGGTATTTTCTGATATCTGCTTTTCCTAATGACATAATCCCTTTTTAGCAGTTTGATACCTTGTTAACAATACTCACGTAATACGGGAAGCGTCTGTCACAGGACGAAAAAGAATAATAGAATGTTGTTTTGTCTGTTTTTTACTGATATGTGCTGTCAGGTCAATTCTGTTGTTATTGTGGTAATAATTTTGAGCAGAACATACATACATTACATCTCCATCAATACCAAGTTTATTTGAGTGTAACATCAAAAACATAATGTAATATATAGACGTTGGGATATAGTTCAGCAGCAGTTGTTATTTGGGATCATTTTATCAAGGTTTGCAATCAGAGGCACATGGTTAGTGTGGCGTGTTGACGTCTATATTTACATGATAGCCTGTTACATGCTTCAAGCTGTGAATTTATTTATTCCAGATTTTTGAAATGTCTGCATAGAATTAGAATGACAAATAACAAAAATCACTAAAATACAATAATTGACAATGCATAAAATTTATATTTACAAGGGACAGACAGACGATACAGAAAAGCCACTGGTGACATG